AAACTTCCTTTCATGTACAGCAGTGAAGTCCGCTGTCTATTTCATACGTATGATTCGACAATGGGACTTTTAAGTGAATGTTATAAAAAAGATTTGACCTGGAGATTTGTGTTTGATGGGCATTATCGAAAATTCTCTTAAAATTTTAACTTACTCGTTCAAATGTTTCTGGACAGAATGGAAGAAGCTACCGCTTAACGGGCCTCCATATCAAGTATCAGTGGAACACCAAGGACTCTATGTAGGAAACTAGGCACGTTATAGATAAAAGAGGAAAAATAAAAAAGGCCGGTAAACCATAGTCAGATACTGTCCACAGTCCTTAAGAATATGTCAATTATTTTTTTAACGTGACTCCTAAGAAGTCACCTCAATCAACTCAGCCGGCAACAAATCGTAGAATTTGACTACTCATAAGCAGTAGCAGTTGTGTCATTCACCCGCTATTTAAAAATAAATGGGATATTGTTCCTCGTTGAATTAAATTTACCGTCTTCATAAAAAATCCTGCATCAAAACTACTGTTCCCCTATCATTTGAATATGTTTCGCCTAAAGTGATATTTTCAAAAGATTTGGGAGGAGGAACAAGTGCCGATGGACTGGAAAGAAGGGCACCTCGTCAAGATTCCAAAGAAAGGAGATCTGAGCAAATGTGAGAGGCATTACACTACTGTCAACACCAGGGAAGGTCTTCAACAGAATGAAAGATGCAGTATACACCGAACTTCCAGATCAACAAGCTGGACTCCGTAAGGATCGGCCGTGCACAGACCAAATTGCAACACTGCGGATCATCGTCGAACAATCAATTGAGTGGAACTCGTCACTATACATCGACTTCATTGATTGTGAGAAGGCATTTGACAGTGTGGATAGGAGGACGTTACGGAAACTTCTTCGACACTACGGAGTTCCTAAGAAGATTTTCAACATTATCCGGAACCCATACGATGGATTACAATGCAAAGACGTGCAGATGCATTCCAAGTAGGGACCGGAGTCAGACAAGGCTGTTTACTCGGAAAACAATGGACAGCTCAAAATTAATTAGACCATTTGGACTTCGCAGATGACCTAGCTCTCCTATCTAATACACACGAGCAGATGCAGACAGAGACAGCCAGTGTGGCAGCAGTCTCTGGATCAGTAGGCCTCAGCATACACAAAGGGAAAACCAAGGTCCTCAAATTCGAAGCGGAGAACTGCAATCCAATAACTCTTGATGGCGAAACTCTGGGAGATGTAGAATCCTTCACATACCTATGAAGCATCGTCGATGGACAAGGAGGTTCATATGCAGACGTAAAGGCGAGGATCGGCAAAGCAAGGGTCGCATTCCTACAATTGAAGAACATATGGAACTCAAAACAAATTTCAGCCAATATCAAAGTGAGAATCTTCAATACGAATGTCAAGGCAGTTCTACTGTGTAGAGCTGAAGCAGTCAAGATTGACAGGCGAATAATTAATTAGAATAATAATTAGAATGTGAATCGAGTAGAATGAATAGATTGAGCTGTTCGAAAGCTCACCAACATTGAAGAGCAACAAAACAGGTGGGTAGAACACTTCAAAGAACTCTTGAATCGACCAGCTCCAATGAACCTACCCAACATCGGAGCAGCACCCACGGACCTCCCAATAGATGTTGGCCCACTAACAATTGAAGAAATCAGCATGGCCATCAGGTAAATCAAGAGTGGAAAAGCAGCAGGACCAGACAACATTCCAGCAGAGGCACTGAAAGCAGACGTAGAGGTAACTGCAAGGATACTCCACATTCTCTCCAATAAGATTTGGGATGAAGAACAAGTACCAAAAGACTGGAAAGAAGGACTTCTGATCAAAATATCGAAGAAAGGCGATCTCAGCAACTGTGATAACTACGGGGGCATCACTCTTCTCTCAATACCAGGAAAAGTCTTCAATACAAATGTCGACACAGTTCTACTGGATGGGGCAGAAACCTGGAGAACTACGAAGGCCATCATCCAGAAAATACAGGTGTTTATTAACGGTTGTCTACGCGAAATACTTCGGATCCGTTGGCCGGACACTATTAGCAACAACCTACTGTGGGAGAGAACAAACCAGATCCCAGAGGAGGGAGAAATCAGGAAGAAGCGCTGGAAGTGGATAGGACACACATTGAGGAAAGCACCCAACTGCGTCACATGACAAGCTCTCACATGGAATTCTCAAGGTCAAAGGAGGAGAAGAGGAAGACCAAAGAACACATTACGCCGGGAAATGGAAATAGACATGAGAAAAATGAGCAAGAATTGGATGGAACTAGAAAAGAAGGCAGAGCAAGACAGAGTGGGTTGGAGAATGCTGGTCGGCGGCCTATGCTCCATTAGGAGTAACAGGCGTAAGTAGGTAAATCCGATAGCTGGAATAATATATATGGGCTTAAAATAATAACAGACACCACAACGGTACGTGCCAGACACCCAAACAATAGGGATTTCTATCGCTAAACAATTATTGAGCAAGACACCATTAGATACTAGTGACCAAGTTACTACAGCGGCGACTGATGACCAAGACAAAACCATGCATGCTGCGACCAATGGAAAATAGATGACGCGAAGAAGAAAAGATGGCCCAAAACATCCCCCGTTTAGCTTCAAAGTCCTTATTGGACTCACGTTCTGCATTGGATATTACTCAGCCAAAGTTACAAAAAAAGAAAATATGTAACCGTATCGTAGATGCGAAAAGTTTGGACTCTTAAATCATTGTCGTGAGTCATTCAACCGACTCCCACAACTTTGTTGTAGTGCGAAATGTAATATTCAGGTTTTAATTATTTCAAATTTAGATGAAGGCTATTGCCTTTTTTAGGACATAAGTGTATATATAATCCAAGTTAGTCAGTCGATTTAAAATCGACGAGGAGTAAGATGTTGGGTGGGGAAGGAAAAGCGTGTCCACTAATAGAACTACTCTCGATAAGTAAAAACATAGCCAGAACTAGATGGTGGATAATACGTCTAAGGAAACAGATATTAGATAGAATACGAATATGCAGACAGAAATAGACGGCATGTGTAGAGCTAACAAGGTCGTGAATAAAAGAGGTACATTGGTAGAGGAAAAATTTTGAAAATGAAGTTTACTCAGTAGTTAAATGTCGTCTAAAAGGTTAAAGTCTTTTCAAATTGTTGAATAAGCTCGTAAGCGGACTACAGTTTATACACTGATATGACTTCATGAAGAATCCGTATAAGTATTGCATTTTTCCTTAACTTAGAACGTCTTACTTACATTCGTAGCTGTTTTCCATTGACTTGGGACGACTCGTTTTGATGGAAAATTGAAGCGGGTCAATCATTGACATTTTTCATAAACGTTGTTTGAATAGTCCTATGTTTTGTTAAGAGCGGGACGACCTGTTTACCATACTTAAGGTGTGCGTGATGGTCATGAGTACGCATTACCTAAGGTTGGTTTGGGTTTCATGATGATAATTAGTGTTCGGTTGTTGTGACTCAAGTCGACCGTTCTGGTTGCACTTGGTTACTTGAGTACCATTTTGTCATAGTTACTCTGATTTTTCTAATAGTGCCTTGTTTTTCAGATGTGCCAGGACAATCAGGAATGGCCTACTTATCTAACGTTTTTGCTTGTCATGCAACAGATCTGAGGAACTATGCGCATTACTGAGAACTTTCGAAGGGGATTCGGTAAGTTTGAAAGGATGATCGTACCTTGGTTAGCTTACTTCAGGTTCCGTTCTGGTTACCTTGAAGTGCTTGTGTTCCTCTTGGTCATAGTTACTCTGATTTTTGATTAAGTGTTTTCTTTTTTTCAGAAGTACCAAACTGGATGAATGTGCATGCTTTGGTAAGTCATCACAGTGATTATATCGAGGAGCGGCTGAGGCTTGTCTAATATAAGTATTCACGTTTATATGCCTATGAATGTCATGGTATGAGTGGTTAATTCGTGTTTTTTGTCTCTAGGTTTTTGATGACTAATAATGAAGGTCAACGGAGGACTATGCAGATGCCTATACATGTGGTTTAGGTTTTCTTACATGACTTCCAAATATATTCACTATATAACATTCCACTACTTGACTTTTGTTTTATGGTTTCGGGTTAGTGCTTTTAGTACCATGGCTGGGCTACAACTTTCGTATTACGGGATCAATCGGGATAAAGCCTTGACATGTACCAAGCTCATGCATAAATCGTCGATGGCACGTAACGGCGGCGTCAGTAGTATTGAGTTGACAACACTTAGAAGTGCGGCAATATATTTGTTACACTGTCTCTAGGAAGCTTAGGATGGATCCTTAGTAACCTGGCAGCTTTTGCGCATAAGCTGGCCTGTGGAGATCCGTGGAGTCTTTCGAAGTAGCGACGACATCATTGTATGAAATATACTGTTCATTACCCTAGACGCCAGGAATCAAATAATTTTGCTTTAACAACCTGTCGAAATTCGAGTTCTCGGCAACACAGTACCGACTTGCGGCTTGAGAGCATAAGCAAAGTAGGCTGCGCGCTCTACGTGTATTATGGGTTGTTGCCACTGTTTCCTTGTGAACTGGTTCGTAGGAGCGGAAATATGGTTGCTTTGCCGCAGTTTGTCAATTCCGGGTGTTTTTGAGTCAAATCTTTGGCTTTAGCATATTTTGGGAAAAGCCCAATCCTCAAAGTGTACTAACAGCGATTTATTGCCTATCCTCAAGATCCTTGGGCAGGTTTAGTGTTTATCTGTTCGAGCCCACCTACTTCAACACGCCGTGACGGTTTATATAGGTGCCCCGAACAACTATCAAAGCATATCTCAGTTGCACTTGTGTATTGCTTCCCTTGCTACGTCTACTGTGGCATCCAGAAAACGATGAAGATAGTTTCAATTCAGTCTAGTCGTTTCTCCTGACTGTTCCATTGATATTTCCTACAGCTATGTACCATATTATTACGCAGTGCTCATTCTACAAAGAATAGTGATTACCCATATTAAAAGGATGTTAGCATCCTGTCTGTACGAACAGTGTTTAATTAGGAAACACCACTCTCCATATGAACGGAATCTGTGTAAAGTATGTTCATGCTAGTAATGTATTTACTTAAAAATGGTGATTAGCATGGCATGGAGCTGTCATAAGAGGTTCAACTAATGAGTACAATTTGTTGAGAGAGAAGCCATCTTGATTATTCAAAAGTGGGGATGTAATGAAAGTAAAGGCAGGTAAAATAAGCATAATCTCATAGTAACAAATTCCCGGTTTAGTTAGCGAACCTTAAGGTTACATTGTATAACAAAATTTGGACAGTAAATGGATTCAGAATAGTAAAAGTGTGAGGTGCATGTTTGTGGATACTTTTCAAAATAAGTTAATCTGATCTTAGTTACGCTTCTTGGATACTTACAGTTTCAAATACTTTGCATTCGAGGGCGTGGATGGTGCCCCTGGGTAGACGTTCGCTACGCAAGATGGTTTCTACTTTATCAAAGTTCAACGTACAGGCAACATCTTCACTAGCAACAACCATCATTCCGGCGAGTTCGGCAACAGCGACATAAAAACTGGGTTCTGAATCAATTGTAGATAGGTTCTTTACTTCAAAAACTGAGCAACGCGGCCAGACAACAACACGTACACAGCCAGTGGATTTGGAACGTGCTACAAATACATTGTGAGCAATTTGTAGATGTTGACAAGATGAGATTACTATCCATAAATAGCTAGAATACAACACATTTCAGAAAGATATCAATACAATTACGGTTGCTTGTAAACATAATATACAGGTTACCATTAAGTAGCGTTCTATAACCCACACGATACCTGGCTAATCAACATTAAGAGTATACTTGGTCAGTCGATTACGCGTATTCAGTCAGCTACAACATAGGACCAGGCACATATATACATCGGTCCAAGTTGCCATACCTCATCAGCACATGATGAACACCAAATTCATAGAAGTAGTTGACTCAGTTGTAGTAATGTATGAAAGAAAGATTGTGTTTAAGGATAAAGTACAGAAAGAAAGAATTGGTTGATAAAAAGAAAGATACAAAGCGATTTTAGTCTCACAGTTTAAGGGAAAACAGAGAGTGTATACAACGATGCTATTGTGATCGATTCTGAGCCATGTCATCCAGAGTCTCCAACCAATGGTTACGATAGTCGCGCTGACCCCAACCAAATACTCTGGATCTATCAACACGGCTCAGACCAGAAGTTAGTGACTTCAAGCACTGATACCAAGTTTTGGTTTGGCCGCCCCTAACTTCCTTCCAACCATCCCCAACACGTCAGCACTGAGCGCCGTGGTAGTCGGCGTTCAGGCATACGCAACAAGTGGCCCAACTATCTCAGTCGATGAAGATTTACAACCTCATCAACTGATTTACCATCATACCATAATACCCTGCATCTAACCTCACTATTACGAGTATCTTCTACACTTAATGGTCACGTTTCACAGCTGCACAGTATACTCGTCCCTCAATTGATAGATGGATATCTCGCCTTCCCCATAGGTGACGTAAGTTAGCAAACGCTAAACGAGCTTTTCGAATTCGTGCTGAGATTTCGTCTGACACCAACCCATTTGGGCTGAAGCAGACTTCCAAAATAAGTGAAGTTGTCGACGCATTCGACTGCTTAACTCCCCATCCTTAGTTCAGGTGTTGACGCAGGTCAGTCCTGAAGCAACAACTTGCATTCAGAAGGAGAGAAGCTCATTCCAAACATCCTGGCATTGTTGCTCAGTACTAACAAAAGACTCTGCATTTTATCTGCGTCTTCGCCAAACAGGACTATTTCATCTGCGAATTCTAAACCGATGAGTGGACCTCCTGGTTGGAGCTGAATGCCTGGGAATCCAGTCGACGAGAACGTCATTTCCACCAGTATGTCTACGATGAAGTTGAACGAAAATGGAGATAGTGGACAGCCTTGACGGACACCACTTGAGGTTGCAAAATCAGATGACAGTTCGCCATAAGCTCTGACTCGAGTAGTAGTGTTCGAGTAAAGAGCCTTCACAAGGTTTATGTACTTCTGTGGTACACCTTTCAATGACAGACACTGCCACAGAATCTCTCGGTCGACAGAGTCAAATGCTTATTTTAACTCAAGAAGGACTACCATTGTCGGACGCCGTTAAGCATGCCTATGTTCTAGACCCGACGAATGGTAAATATATGTGGCCGATACAGCCACGACCGGGTCTGAAGCTAATCAGATAGTTTCTGAATTTGATGCGTTAAAATAACATATTAATTGTCGATGAATGCCGATATTTGGAAAAGTGAGATATACGTCATATCTACTCCTCATAATTCACAAATACATTAGATGCCATGGAACCAGATTCAGACAATGATTTTAGTTAAAATTCTATGCAGTTGTAGTTGTTGCAATACGGGAGTACCGCCAACTCAGTAAAATACTCGCCGTATGTGGACTATCAAAAAAAGGTTAGTATTTACGTCAATGATGTAATGTTAGACCCAAGGAAAACCACGATAGCTGCTCAAAAATGCGACTATTCCTAGTTGAAAAGTATAGCGTGCGACCACGGATAATATTTTAGCTTTAAAGTACCAAATAATAAGTTTTGGTACATTCAGTTAAACGGTACGTCTTTTGGATATTTGAAATTATTGAGATGAATGTTAAGATTTTAATTTAAACAAACACTATATCGTTTCGATTAGCAACATGTCAGATTATCTAAGTTTTTTGATAAGCCTGTAGTGTGTGCGTTTTTCATTCACATGAATGTCCTCATTAATTCTAACCAACTTTGTTGTTTGTACACTCAAAATAATATGACAGAATGGATCATATGTTGTCCAATACTTTACATTCTACTAGACTTCAATAAAACAAATTTGTTCATGAACATCGAGGTAAAACAAATGAATGTGTTTCTCTTGCATTTTACCAATAATAAGCAATTCAAGTAAGCAACATACAGTTTCGCTGTTCATTTGCACAGCAATTAAAGCGACTAGCAAATTGTAGACGACTTTATCAAATTAACTATCTCTATTGATAGTTATGTGAATAGTTATCAACGGATTAAAAAAATACTATATAACAATGATTCCCAACCCAATACAGTTATACTAAGAGGGTATAATGGTTTAATAAGTCACTTCTCTAAAGCATCGCTTTACTCTAATGGGTATATTTATTAAGCAGCAGTAATGCAAAGTTATATGAAATGAGATAGCGTTCAAGATTACAGACAAGAACTTGTGTAATACTCACAATGGAACTAGAATTAGTGACCGATTTTTGTGTGAAATAATATTTGCAGCTACACAGATAAAAATAAGTTGAATACCAAGAGACAGATATAAACAGTCTCATACTGACATATGCCTACATTCTCACTAAGTTTGGATTAATAATTAAATAGAGAAATAAGTCGATAATTTAATTTTCTGCGGAATTCAGGTAATTGACCTACATTTAATGTAACTTGCTAAAAGTACACATGATTAGCTATATAACACCTACAACTAATTAAAATATACTTTAGTTTGTTTTGTCAATATGTCCTTTATCAGGTTGAATTAATTAAGATAAAAACATATAACGTCAAAGTTGATTCCGTAATTGATGATCAAATTTAAAAAAGAGAAAAAAAATGAACTAACTTTACAAACCGATCCAGTTCTGTTAAATCGGTTAATTCAAGAACAAAATTATCTACGGGATGATTAACCAGTTCATAGTAAAGTGAATTTTCATATTTCAATTTAATATCCTAGAAATAAGAAAAGTATGCTTTACTTGTTTCCAAGACAAGTCTATTTTTAAGAACAAAAAAACGCACCGTAATTTATAAAATAACAAAGAAAAGCGACTACGTATTTTTAAAACCTAAATCAAAGAGACATAAGCCATTCAAAGTGTGAAATATTAAAACAGAAAACAGTTGCTTACTCTATATTGCTTGTTGAAAACAGCAATGGGACTCAGCATTAATGAATTTTATAGTCCATACAGTTCAATCTGTTACCTATCCCATTTCCTCGTTTAACTGAACATAGATATCATTATATGTGAACATTATATTTGAAATAATCTCAGCGATTGAAATTTAAATAATTCCAACGTTTCGTCCAGACAAGTTAGCTGGATGAAACGTTGGAATTACTTAAATTTCAATCGCTGAGATTATTTCAAATATAATTGTCACATATAATTACTTCTCTATACTCGGCGCCCAATTTCTGTCAAACTGTTCGTTCTAATCTTGACGAATATTCGTATGAATATAGAAATCGTTGAATATTCTCATCGAGACATAAAAAGATGAAAGACACAGCCAAATATTTGACCCACAGAGCCAAAATCATTTGTTCTAATGACATTCTTGAAGAGAAGCTAAAACTTATTCAGGACTTATTACATAAGCAAGCAAACACACTAAGGTTCTTAATGCAACATATTTCTGCAAATTAACCTAAGATAAAGTCGTCGACAGTACCAAGAAAGCCTATATTCTTGAAATTACAGTTCAAAGGTGATATATTCAGCGTGATAGTAACTCGATGCATACAAAAACCTCAGAACGTACATCCAACGCGGCATGATTATGTCTTACTTTCCTCAGCCGGCCAATAGTGATTTGATGAAATAAGGTTAAATTTCCTCGTCTCTTTGCCTCTATGTATATTTACAATTTCAACTGCTCCTACGGAGCCTGTTATATTGGGCGCACAACTAGACAAATATATCGTATTTCTGAGCATCACCCTTAACCAAAAGACAAATGAAAGTGCATCTGGTCGATACCGGTCATCCATAGATAAAAATTCAGCGTTTAAAGTTATTTATAAAATCTCACCGAATTTTCCCCATGGTTCTAAAACCCGGCTCTTACATATAACAGAAGCCACGGCAATACACATAAAAAACCCAACCTTTGTATACAGAGGTTTACACAATCTTTGAATCTACCTTGGCTTTCTACTTATATACCATTACATGTTTCCAAACCTTTCCTCTCCATATCTTAAAAAGTTTCCGAGCTTCGATTTTTTAACATTTCAAGTTCCGATTCTAATATTGCGTAACCTGTTTATGAATCATATCTAGTTTTAACTGCACCCGTCCTACTAATAATTTATCTTCAATTTCACAAATAAAAAAACCTATATTGACATCCAATTTTAATTGCGTAACTATTGGTAATCATTAACTCATTATGAAAATTCGCTTTGTTTTAAACATAATTTTTCAAACCTTATGTAACTAACTGATTATATTTTGTCAATCTGACTCACCACTATCTAATCGGAACTGATGTTTTACTCACTTGTAAAAAAATATGTTATTGTGGAGCCCTGATACAGAACTAATTGAGTTTATAATGCTAACTAGAGTAGAATTAAATTGTATGAACGTTCGAGTTAACTAAATCAAATCAAGGCGGGATATGCTAAATCACTGACTGATAGTCTGAGTTGTGCGGTAAGTTTTGAGCTTCATGGATGTGTTGAGACCAGCAGAGGGGTGCCAAAATAGGTACGACTTGCTTACGAGTGCCAACCAACAAGAAAACTAAGTAGAAGGTTTCTTATCTACTAACTTTAACTACGTAACATCTTAACACATATACCATAGAAGTTTACTGGGGCTGTTTTTTTCAAGAAGGATAATTTAATCATGATCCACAAACTCATATGTCTGCCTAAGAAGTCTTCGTTTCAACTTTGAGCTACGCAGCTAATTTTTGATATATGTGTGCATCCGTATTAGTTACATTTAAAAAAGTCATGCGTCACTTTGAAAACGAATTGTCAACATAACGAAAGTAATCCAACAGTCGAACACTACCAAGTTTTACTTCCAATTCTAAAATTTTCGCTTTAGTTCAGATACATCTAAAACATGTTGGGTACTAATGAAAGTGACTGATTATGCTATTTTAGATAGTTTTAGTTGACATGAGTTGGTTTCGATAATAAAATTGATCCAAAAAGTTTTTTGGAAAAGTGCTCTTAGTTTTAGTTAGTATTTACTGTAAATCCCATTTTAAAAGCTAGTAGTTTGTACGTCCATAAAATATACTGAATGTTAAATGCTAACAAATCAGACTACACTAATCGTATCATTTTAGTCTCTCTTTCATTAAAAACTGAAAAATACTATACATGGATAACTTTATGTGACTTGAAGGACAGCTAAGCACATCGTTTCTTTAATCAAGTAAAATTGATAGTCCGCAAATCATTTTTACAATCAAACAAGACACAGTAAGAATCTACGTTAACATACGGAGTATGGAAATGTAGTGGTCAGTGTTTACACTAGGGGGAAAAGTTATTTCATGCTTAGTTTACTTGACCACAAAATATCGATTTACTTACTGTGGACATAGCTCGTAAGTATTCTGGTGATTGCCATAAGTGGAGATGTAAGTGGTTTACAGAGGCATGAGCCAACAGACTATTGAAGCCCATACACAAATATCTGAAAATTAAGAATCTTAATTAAATTAGTTGAATTACTAGTCCTATCGCTTTAGAATATACATACTGCAAGTATGAACTAACAGCTCGTTACAAAGAATTTTAGTGAGAATAAACTAAGGTTATGCACAAATACTTGTTCGGAAGTGGGGTAATTTTTTCTTGTTAAGTTCGTTTCTTAAGTGCGGAATTAATAAGGCACTACATTTAGAGGCTACTTCATACTGAGGGCTTAATTTAAACCATTAGGTGATAGATTTTGAACTCGTTTCACAGATTTCGGTTTGGGCAGCTTGGCAGTCTCCAAAAATAAAGTGGTTTAAAGCCAACCAAATAAACACATACTTTGTTGGTGAGTTGTATAAAAAATTAAAACTGTATATGGGGATTTGTGCCCGCAAACATGGCATGATATTTGCATAACTGAATCGCGAAATGTCGGCGAGTACAAGTATATATTACGCCGTTTAGGACTACACGTCTCGTGGGTTTGTAATATAAAATGAGTGGATTGGGATTCGAACTTTGACCTATTTTTTGCAAATTGAGTCTTTTAATCTATAAGCAACTGATCAACTGCTAAACTGTGGAAAATACTCGAAAAGCTTAGGTTTTTTGATAGTTGTTATTATCATAAGGAGGGTAAAAAACAAGATGAGATGGATAAAACGAAACAGAATAGCACTGAACTTATGTTACGAGAAATAAAGAATGGGTGCACATCTGAATAGGGATTGGATAGGCATACGTTTCACACATTCCGATTAAGTAAGTTGAAGAATGCTTATAGCCTGATCAATCGACTTAACATTTTTACCTAGAACACTGCTTAACCTTAGGGTTACTTACTTAGTGGTCTAACTAAACGCGAGTAGCTTTGAGGACGGCTACGCTCAATTACATGCAATGTACGAATGTCTTCTAATTTATTGAGCTTTGCACCAGTATTAAGGCATTACAAAATACACTGATATGAAGTGTAAATATGGTCCGGTGTGGTGAAAACTAACTAACCTTCCTGTATCCGTGTTGAAATTTTATGAAGCAATAACACAACAGTGATTATGAGGCTTCTAAATCAACTGAAATGGTAAGCCTACTTAATAAATTCACTCCCGGTGGTTAGGCCATGGACTGATGCACGCTAGTTTAGAAATAAAGTTTCGCATGTAGAGAGGTAGAGAAATTGATTAAATCCTTGTGTTATTATTAAAGTTATTCATAAAACTGCAAGTTATCTCTACTCTCAGTCAATAATTAGGGGATCAATTTCTAAAATGCGAGGCATTGTTAACTTTGAAAAACTATCTATGACATAGTCAAATAACAACGATGGATAGCCCTGAAAAAAACACTTGAGACAGTCAATTAGTTAATTTATGTACCTTTCTGCATGAGGTTATTCTTTTCCTGTGACTTTAAAGTAACCATAATATATAGAAAAACTTTGGAAAAAATTCACCCTAGGCTAACACGAAAGTCTGGAAGTCCCAACAATAGAAATATGATCATATTATTTTCAACAATATAGCTCATATAGCTTTTACAAACAATTTGACTTAGGTAGTGAAAGAATGTAAAACTAACCTGTTGTTACTCAAAAGAAAACACTTGATTACTGAGTAAAAGGAGTCTTTTCCAAGGAACTGAAATTGTTAAAAAAATATGCATTCATACCTGATTGTGGCATTTTTCTACTTCCGGAACCAAGAGAGAATGTAAATATGAAAATGGACTGACATTTATCAGTATAGAACATGATTTCTAAACATTTAAAAAATGGTATGCTTACTGTGGTATACTTTTCAGAAACATTTAACAAGAATTCATGTTTTGGGACTTTGTTAAAATTGAAGGATTCGAACGAAAGTGGATCATTAATGGTTCTAAATAGTTGTGGTTTACGCCGATGGCTGAATCGATTATTGTTAGGCTAGAGTTACATCTTTAACAGACTTTACTTACTAAAATCAAAATATTTACATTTCCAGAACAAATTTTCTTTACTGAACTCAATGATGTATCAATTTTGTAATGAAAGTAATTGGATTCATAAGCGAGAGTCCATAAGGAGTTCAAAGTTTTATCGAACTACAGGAAAAGAGGACTTGAAATATTTTTACCTTTGAAGAGGTATTAGTTGACCGTAATATAAGGTCTCCATTTGTATACTCAAAATTCATGCCGTGGAAGATTTCAATATACGAAAGAAGGTTCTGAAAAATTAAAACTGATAACAAGTATGAATAATCATGAGCTTATAAAAACAGTAACATAAGATAAAAATAATAGTGACATTTAAATGAATTAACTGAATTTTGCGGTATTTTTTACAGGATGTAAAGAAGTTCTTCAAGAAACCTTTGACAAAATAATACTCTAAACATTAATCACTCCATCAAACGCAAGTATGTATCATTTAATAAGCTATATGCAGCAAAAGAGATATGAGGATAAATTTTACCGGTTAATAAATAGAATCAAATATATTATGACAGTCAGTTATAATAAGCGTAGAGCCTAGAATCTGACCCGCTATACACGTAATGACATCGAAGTAGAAATTTGTTTTACAATAGTCAGCTTTATCCCGTTGTACGAATTATATGTGACCGATTACGATAGGTAGGTATGCGAGTAATATTTGATAGACTTTGGCATATCGTTAATGATGTGAAAAACGTGGTATCAGTCCCTGAAGTCACTAACTTCTAGTCTAAGCCATGTCGTTAGATGCAGACTACTTAGTTGGGATCCGCGTGACTATCGTAATCAATGGTCAGAGACTCTGGGTGACATGGCTCAGAATCGATCACAATGGTGTCGGTGTCTACACTATCTGCCTTCCCTTAAATTGCGAGATTAAAATTACTTTATATCTTTATTTTTATAACTAATTCTTTCTTTCTGTACTATATCCTTATACATAATCTTTCTTTCATACATCACTACAATTGAACCAACTACCTCTATGAATTCGGTGTTCATCTTGTTGTGCTGATGAAGTGTGGCGACTTGGACCGATGCATAAATGTGCCTAGTCTTACGTTGTAGCTGACTGACTGATGTAATTGCGGATACTTATTGTTAAGTCGATCTTAAATAATTTGAGATATCATCAGTGTCTAATAAGGCGCTAAACTATGCTTCCACTCCCACCAATATGAGTGTGACGAAATGAGTTTGACAAAAATATGTTTGAAACTACATTTAGCTAACAATGTTCACATAGACCATCAACAGAAAACCCGGTCTCATGATTACTCGTCGACGAAATAGTTGTAAACAACATTTACACAACGAACGACTTTCATAAAAACAGAACTAGGCTAAAATAACGGTAGCTGAATTTGAAATCGAAAATCAAGACATTAAACCTATAGAGTACAAAGTTTCGCACTGACCAATCGAATCTCGACAAACGCAGCAAGAGTGAAAACAAGCACAATCTCACAGCACACAATGCACATAGTGTGAAGTCGCAGTGAGGTTGAAAGTAAAGGACAAAGAGGGATGAATAAGTCAGATATATGTGGTCTATAAGTTTATTCAGTGAGACTATAATTTACAGATGACCTTTGAGCAACGATAAAATGACTGCGAATGCCCACTTACATAATAGGGTTATATGAGAGTTATAAATTAGTGAGGACTCAGGACTATTAATTACGGTCGGACGTTAGTGTTAGAAACTATACTTAATGTTTTTATCACGAACTGGCAACACCCATAATGCTAAAATGCTATTTAGCCAAATGGATTTGGCGCAAAAACCCAAAGTCCGTTAAATATGATCGGTTCGTCCGTAAGTTATAGTCTCGGCAAAATGCGACTAGAAACCCGGAACTTCCGATATACTTCAAGGGAATTCTTAAAACGTCTCGAAAAATTTGGGGTTTTCGTCAGTATTTCCACCGATTTTGGGGAAATCCACTGAAGCTGGTTCACAAAGCTCCAGAATTTTTGCTGCGCGTAGATGATTATAATTACACTTGTTTTTATATTGGCTGGCTCTTAGTCTTCATAAACAACCATGCGTGGTCAATTGGAATTAAGATCTGGACATTTGTTAGTCTCATGTACATTGCATTTGGACCCAGGCTTTATTATTCGCGGACTGACCGCATCTAGCGCCACGTTACTGTTTAATGGGAACGCATACATTGGGCACGGTTTCCACGAATAATCTTTGAAACTCCGTTATGAAGTTCCTCCAGTTTCGACGTATGAACCAGATGAAACATTGCAATTACGTCACCAGATCTGAAAGTTACAGATTGATCACACTCTTATGGATTCGGGAAAACTTAGGGGTTTTCCCCTAACTTAATAACTATGTTTACGTGGGAAACAAAAGGCGACTACTTTTTGTACTACGTGAAGCTTGTCTAATTGACTGCGAATAATAGGGAAACGGAGAAAACTCCAGAAATTCCCCTGAAACCTTGGGGAAAATTTGGGGTTTTCCCTAAAATAATCAAATTTTTTGAAGATCTATCAAACAAATCCAGTGCATTTCTTCGAAGTTGGTGGGTATTGTGGGTAAATATTCCACAAATTCGTGGAGAGTTGGATAATTTAACAGAACGTTGAGGTTTATTCAGAAGCTATTTCTCGTGATTTTATTGAAATGTGAGACAGGCATACCCAAATCACATGGGAGTTACGTACTCAAAGTACACTTGAAGGATTGGTATATATCTTGCGCGAAGAGGGAAAATACCTGTCGACCTTGAGTTTGAAAAAGCACAAGGCTATTTTAGAATGAGCCAGTCTTCAGTAATAAGGATATTAGGTTGGTGAACCTTCAGTCTTCAGTAATAAGGATAGTAGGTTGATGAACCTGTGTTAATCCTGACACATTGCTTTCCAGTGAAGGTCCAGCTTTTCCTTGAAAGTATTCACTGATGGGGCTGATACCACTTGTTCGGGTAAGGCGTTCCAATGATTGACTACTCGATGAGAAAAACGGGATCCCACTTTAAGTTTATTAGATCGTGGTTTATGAACCTTCTTGCTATGACCTCGGAGATTATTAGTGCTGGAGGGAGCAAAAAGATAAGACATATTAACACCCAAATCATAATTAAAGATACGAAATGCCAGTATAAGGTCACCTCGTGTCCTACGATACGACAAGGGGAAAAGATTTAGGCGTTTTAAGCGCTCATCGTAAGGGAGTCTAGAAAGACCCTTCACTAATTTCGTTCCCACACGCTGGACACGCTCAAGGGAGTTAGTATCCTTTACTAGACACGGGCTAGCTGCTTGGATACAGTACTCTAAATGTGGTCTAACATATATGGGGTATAAAATTCGAAACGTTTCCTCGTCAAAAGATTTGAACGCTCGGCGAAGTGACCATAACGCACGAAAACCTTTGACAGCGGCTGCTTTGCAATGCGCAGTTGTTTTTAAGTCATGACTTAATATTACTCCTAAGTCCTTATGCTCTTGAACGCATGGAAGAGGTTTACCCTCAATAGTGTAACGGTAACTATTACCGTGACCGACGTGCATTAGTACACTCTTCCTAGCATTGATTTCTAAGCCCCACTCTCGAGCCCATCTAACTAAATCGTCTAAATCAGCTTGAAGATCCACATGATCAGCCGCACTTTTTATTGTTCTCCAGATTTTTACATCATCTGCAAACAATAATGTCGACGACCTAAGTAACAGTGGTAACTCATTAACGTAGAGAAGGAAGAGCAGAGGGCCTAAGATGGTGCCTTGGGGTACACCACTTTTGACCGGCTTCCAATCGGATAGCGTTCCATTGACCCTAACTCTCTGTCTGCGGTCACATAAGAAATTTCCTATCCACTCATGTACAGTACCTATTATTCCGAAGCTCGTGAGCTTCTGCATAAGACCTACGTGTGAAACCTTGTCAAACGCTTTGCTAAAATCTATGAATATCACGTCGACAGACAGACCGTGATCTAGGGCTGCTGTCCAATCCTCCCTCGCAATAAGCAAGTTAGTCAAGCATGAACGCTTGTTACGAAATCCGTGTTGCTCAGGAGCTAACAGATTGTGTAAATCTATGTGGCTTAGCAACCTAACCCGAATTATCTTTTCGAGTAACTTAACGACTATGCTAGTTAGACTGACAGGCCGGTAGTTAGATACTATCTGTCGCTGACCGTCCTTAAATATAGGACTAACTATAGCGTCCTTCCAATCTCTAGGGAGTTGGGCGAGTGAGAGGGACATGTTGAAGAGTGTCGCAAGCGGTTTTGAAATAATGTCCGCAAGAGATGACAGCAACCGTGGATGTAACCCGTCAGGGCCCGGTATCTTACCAGGTTTGAGGTTAGTTATCAACGGAAGGACAGTTTCCTCAGTCACCTGTACGGATTCAATGGTTGGTATCTCGGTGTGAGTGGGACAAGTATTTGTTACAATAAACGTAGAGAAGACTTCGCTAAAATAATCTGAAAAAGTCTCAGCTTTTGCTCGATCTGATTCAGCTAGTAATTCTGAATTTTCGTGTAACAGCAACGGGGGAATACCATCACTACGTTTCATTTGCCGTTTAACATACGAAAACAATCGTTTCGGACAAGTACGGCTATCATATACTAACTGTCGTTCGTAAGTGGTACGGGATTTCGCTATGGTTTTCTTACAGATATTACGGTATTTTTGATACTCACGCTTAAATGGTGCATGACCTGTCAACAAGAATAAGTCCCAGAAATGTTTCCTACGCTTTAACAGCTTCCGGGTTTCCTTATTAATCCATGGAGGGCAATGTGATAGCTTACGTGCTGACCATGGGATAAACGGCGACGTTACGGACTCGAATGTAGCCTTAAACTTATTCCATTCATCTTCGATCAATCCATCCGCGTCGACCGACCAATCGGTCGAGATAGCACGGTTTCTGATTTCCGGAATATTAGCTCGCCAGATATTGGGACGGGGTGGAGCAGATACGAATTGTATACCATGTGTCCTAAACTTAAAGTGAATTACAACGTGATCACTGTTCACTAGTGGAGGAAGGTGCTGGATATCAAAGACATCCTCAGAGTGGTGGGTGAGGGCGAGGTCCAGCAGTGACGGAACATGATGCAAATCAATATGTGTCGGTTTTGTGATACATTGTACAAGTGCACACTGAACCTGTGTTAATCCTGATGGATTGCCTTCCAGTGTATGTTCAAC